CCTGTTCGCATCAGCTGCATATGTTCGTGGCTTGTGATCAAGATAATTCCAATATTAAGGGTTGAAGGCCGTCATTTCACGGTTACTTCTACTATGAGTTTTTTGTAATTGTGTTTTACGTTATTAGTGTATTTCACTGAGGAATCAACTTCTTAGTTATACCAAGGTTAGTTTATTACACAACGGAATATTGCACGTGTGTATAATGGTAAGCCAAACATCTGTTTCATGTTGCGTCATACACGTTGACAGTCTTACAAACGAACTGATGATGAATTATTTCTCTTGCAAGGTTGTGGCAAACATTCTGTTATGCGTTGAAAAAAGGCTTTTGTATATTATATCATATTCTTGTTGTATGATGAAAAAAGTACTTGTGGATTAGCTGCTACCCATTTCGAGTGTCTAAAAACAGAAACTTGTAGATCAGCTGCTACTCTTGTCGTGTGTCTAAAAGGTAAATACACTTGTAGATCATCTGCTACCCCTCTTGTATGTCTAAAAACAAATACACTTGTAGATCAGCTGCTACTCTTCTCGACTGTCTACAAAATAAATAAACTTGTAGATTAGCTGTTACCCCTGTCGTATGTCTGAAAGGTAAAAACATTTGTAGGTCATCTGCTACCCCTCTCGTATGTCTAACAACAAACAGATTTGTAGATCAGCTGCTACTCCTCTCGACTGTCTACAAAATAAACTTGTAGATTAGCTGTTACCACTCTCGAGTGTCTAAAAAATAAATACACTTTTATATCAGCTGCTACCCCTCTCGTGTGTCTTAAAAACCAAAACACTTGTAGATCAGCTGCTACCTCTCTCGAGTGTTTAAAAAATAAATACACTTGTAAATCAGCTGCTACCTTACTCGTATGCTTAGAAAACAAAAAACTTGTGGATCGGCTGCTATCCATCTTGTGTGTTGAATTGTTTGCTTTGTTTATTATTAAGCTCAAAGCTACCGCGGATTTCTAAACAAAAGTTTTAGCGTTGTAAGCCTCATACTTAATGCTGAGCCAACGGTGAGCTATTTGGTGCAAAAAGATGCTTGTATATTAGATCAGTGGTTCTCAAAGTTTGGTCTGCGGTCCACTGTTAGGCCGAGAGGGTCCTCCAGGTGGTTCGCGGGCTGGTCCAAAATGCAAGTCACCGACGCGTAAACAAGTGGGGTAGGACTGGTATGTAGTCCGCGGAATCCTTTGTCCCATCGCAGTTGTCCTCGAACGAAAAAGTTTGAGAACCACTGTGTTACGTCATATTGTGTCGTGTGGATCATAGCAACAATTGTGGAATTGTGGATCATCTTCTAGCCCTAATCATGTGACAAAAAAAAAGACACACATGAACAAGATGATATTTGATTGTAGAAAGAAAAGACAAGAAATCCACCCTCTATATTGTTATTATTTTGATATTTACCTTCTCCTATACAGTATAACAACTAGTATGTAATGTCTGCTTATGACAGCCAGTAGTTTTAGAACTAAACTAGTGAAATTTTCATGGTATCAGTCGTTGGGAGAGGTTTACTGTATTATGGTAGTTTTACATAAGAAGAAAAACTGTCCTTGAATATGTGTATATGCTGTAACTCTTAGATAATCTTTGTATTTGGAACGTAAATTCACATTGGTTATACAACATGGGCATAGCAACCCTTTTATTAGCAGAGAGAATACAACAACATTTTAGAAATAACAGAATATCTTGTATAGCTTCTTTGGTGAGCTGGTGACAAGAAATATGTTTTGGATAAACACTGAATATACTAAAGACTCTGAACTTAGTGACACTTTCTTCTTGGGTTGAATTATTCGTTTCAAAATTTTCCCAAGTGTTTCAGAAAAATATATAACATACTTACTGTTTTCCCAATGTATTGGTGATTAACATACGGGACTGGGTATAAAACGGTTTCGGGTTCGAGCTTCAGCCCTACAAAATACGTTTTATACTTTCAACTTTACGTGTGATATAAGAGTGACAGTTGATACCTGCATACGGTTAAGAGTAGGCACTTCAGTTGGCGTCTGGTGCCGACTGGTTGCTTGCCCGCTGGGTCGCAGTTCAAATTTAGGAACGGCTATGCTTGACCCATAGGGGTCTCTGACCCGGCTGTTCAGCTCATTGTGCGCATAAGATGTCGTTCAGGTGAACAAATATACAAAGCTCCATAGCCTGAACACAAAACTTAGCATTAGCATTCTGTCTCGTAAATTAACCCTTGACTGAATAATGCTGGTTAATAAGAATCGCGTTAGTTGTATGTCGAGTAAGACAATGTTCACGTTTGTAATAAAACTTTAATTAATCATTCATTAGAAAATTCGCGTGGGGGCATTGTACAGCATTCAAAAGTTTGGGTTTAATACGTGCATGAGCTGGTGTAATTACCTCTCCCCCAGAGGTGGGCGAGGGTATTGTAACCGCGTCTGTGTGTGTGTGTGCGTCTGTGTTTCCGTGCGCGTATCTCGAAAACTAATAAACCGATGTAGACGAAAATTTTACACAAGACTAAAAATTAGTACGGGACAGTCCTCCCCAAATTTTGACCCGATCAAAATTCGGATTTTGGATCACTTTGAAGCATTTTTATAATGGAGACGAGCATTTTTGCGGTTAATAACTCTGTAAAATGTGATCGGATTTGTACCCAATTTCATGGCCACATTAAGGTTTCTCATAAAACATTATCCAGATCGTTGATCATTCTGGATCTGAGTAGAACTTTCTGAGTTTTCTAAGGTGAAATTTGACGTTATCCAATATAAACGCATGGAATCTCGAAAATGAGTGGCGGGTCGAAGGTATGCAATCTCTCTGATTGTTCTTGTTGTATACATTTATGTACAGACTTTTGCCTTAGTTGAAACGTAGAGAAACAAATACAAGTTAATCGGGTATTATAAAAAATGAACACAAGAACCATCGTATGATATGATTATATTACAATGGATTAAAGAGTTAATTTCTATTTTCTGCACTTTTTAACTTCTTTTTTTATGTATATGCAACTGAAAACTGGGATTTTAATAACTGCAATTTTTACTATAATATGTTATTATACTTCCCACAAAATTCAATCCTGTCAAGTCTTCAGAACCAGAATAAATTTTTTAACTTCTCCGTACCCAGAACGTTTAAATACAACACATATTTCGAATTTCAATGCTATATCAATGAATTTTTACTTAACTATTGAGCAAAAATGTTTTGAAATTGTGTTAATCAGTCACTTTATGTATAACGTGGCCCCAAGTGGCACAGCGGTATGTCTGCGGACGTACATCACTATATACCGGGTTTCTATACCTGTGGTGGGCAGAGCACAGATAGCCCATTGTGTAGCTTTGTGCTTAACTTCAAAACAAACAAACAAACAATGTATAACGTGTAATAAACGTTAGCTGTATATATCAGTTTCTATACCCGTGGTGGGCAGAGCACAGATAGCCCATTGTGTAGCTTTGTGCTTAACTTCAAAACAAACAAACAATGTATAACGTGTAATAAACGTTAGCTGTATAGATCAGTTTCATATGTACAGTCAAAGACGTCTTACCGACATAAATATATAGCCTATACATGTATGTGTGTGTGTGTGTGTGACTTAAAGAGAGATAATTTTCATATCAAGTATAACTATTAGTACTGGCATCAGCGTTCACTGTAAACTGTATTAATTGGAAAGAGATAACTATTTTAATATATAGCCTATACATGTATGTGTGTGTGTGTGACTTAAAGGGAGATAATTTTCATATCAAGTATAACTATTAGTACTTGCATCAGCGTTCACTGTTTAACTGTATTAATTGGAAAGAGATAACTATTTTAATATATAGCCTATACATGTATGTGTGTGTGTGTGTGACTTAAAGAGAGATAATTTTCATATCAAGTATAACTATTAGTACTTGCATCAGCGTTCACTGTTTAACTGTATTAACTGGAAAGAGTTAACTATTTTGTGAATTGTTGGGAATTAATTTTACTTTGTAATATGGCGTCGCATAATTTGGTTAAAAAGGACAATGGGTGTATTTTTTAATAAGAAAATATTTATTTGTTTGGGCTATCTGTGCTCTGCCCACTGCGTGTATAGAAACCCTATTTTTAGCGTCATAAGGCCACTGAGTTACCGCTGAGCTACCAGATGGGGGATTTGAATATAACTCCTGCGAGAAAAAAAAAACTTCAAATATAACAAAAGTACTTGTTAGATTGAGCCAAGTGATGAATACATTTCCTATGCCTCCATATTTTTACTTATTTCTTGAATTCGTCTTATTCGTCTTACAAGATGTTTTCAAACGTGACCTTGACTTTTAACCAATTTCTTCAAAGACTAAGTCAACCAAATTTTAACGACGTTAATAATTAAAACAAAAAAATATTCCGAATCTAATTAATTGTTTAGTCAAAAAGTAAATAAATACTTATACAGTGCTCATGAAGTAATGGTTTCGTCAAAAAAATAAATACATAGATTTATAAAGCTCATGAATATCATTCCACGGGATTATGATATAAATCGCATTTTAGGAAATCTTGTTAATTTGTTTTAGAGCAAAGTAACATTGGACTATCTGTTGGGTCTACCGCAGAAAATCAAACCCCGGATATTAGTGTTTTAAATACGTAAAGTTACCACTGACCCACCGGGGAACTTAGGAAATCTAACGTGTATTTGCAAACTAAATTTTTTTACGTTGAATTCACGAGAAATAAAATATTATAATGAAGTTGTTATATATTTTTGAATAATGACTATACTATATTCCAAAAGTATTCGACTATTTGAATTGCTTAGACTGATCATTTTACACGATGTGTATCCAAAAACCAGTACAACATAGATATATTTGTGTATTTGTAAGGATATTGCTCATTGTTTATTATCTAACGAAGGCAAAAACAACTTTTTGGTTATTGTAATGTAATTTTGTTGTTGTTTACTTTTGTGAATACAGCATATAGTAATGTTTAGTTTTCCGTAGCAGGTCTTTGTTGGAGTTCCATGGATCGTAATGGCCGCTGCACTGCGTCCTTGCGTACCAATGTCTCTGAAGAAGAATGTTGTGCTGACAGTAGCGCCACTACTGCTTGGAGTTCTAAAGATTTACAGTCAGGAGACTTGTTCTTTTGGAGAGTACTTGGTGGTGGAGTACCTTGTCAACTTTGTAAAGGTACATGTTTAAATACATATATATTCTAGAATTTGCCTATTTTTATTTCATCTAGACGTGATAAAAAAAATGTTTTTCGTTTTCTTTTAATAACGCCATAGTAATATTTTCTATGCATTAGATTTATGTCATAACGATAATTTGGTTGGGCTGAACAATGGATGTAACATTTCAACAAGAGGTAGATTAGTTAAAAGTCATGTATTAGAACCTCCAAGTATGAGTTCACTCAAGGAGGTCATGCTGACGTTGTGTGATGTAATCTTTTCATTTTGTTGCTACCGTTGCCATGTTACACAGTCCTCTTGGATGTTTTTCTCTGCTTATATTTCACATGCCACTAGAACTACGTCATTGAAAAGGAACGCAAACTGTATACTATAAAATAATCAAAGAACAGTCTTGACGTCAACAAAATTTTGAATAAAGTTACGCTAAAAGTATAGTCATGAAAAAGTAGTTCCCCGTGTTTTACGTAAGCCATTGAACCGTGAAGCGAGACTAATTTCACAGAAGTCTGTTGCTATTTGGTTTTAAAAGCACACTACACGTACATTGACAATAGAAACAGAAATTTATTTATGAATTATAGTTTTCAAAATACTATTAAATTTATTTAAAAAAAATAACTATCCTCCAAGTTTTGAAGCTGCGCACGATTTATGATTAAATATGTTTATTACGGATTTCGCGCAGAGTTACACGAGGGCTATCTGCGCTAGCCGTCCCTAATTTAGCAGTGTAAGAAGGCAGCTAGTCAGCACCGCCAACTCTTGGGCTACTCTTTTACCAAAGAATAGTGGGATTGACCATCACGTTATAACGCCCCCACGGTTGAAAGGGCGAGCATGTTTGGTGTGACGGGGATTCGAACCCGCGACCCACAGATTGCGAGTCGAGCGCCCTAACCACCTGGCCATGCCGGGCATTTGTACTTATTACTTAAGGGGTCCTTAATTCTTTCTGATTTCTACAAACTTGTCAACACTAGTGCTAGGTATTTGTATTTGGTATTTATGGAAAATGTGCTAAAGCTATGTGGTGTCGTACCTAATTTTTGAACTACTGGCCATAGGGAAGAGAGCATCGCCATAATACCCCCCCCCCTCATTTATGTGAAAGGATTTATTGCCACTTTTATAATGTACCCACAGCTTAATGTGCTTGGAATATCTTATGCTATCACAACTACAAGATGGTGCAGAACAAAAAACTACGACGAAAAATTACTTGTAGTTGTAGTAATTGTTAAGTAACAACGTTGTAGTGCTAGAACGTTTCTGTACAACACTGCCTAGGAGAGAATCATGGAAATGCAGATGACCTTTTCTATGTCCATTTGTGAAAATTCCATAAACTTATGGACTTACAGCACTCAAATTCTGGGCTCTATTTCCCAATGTGGACAGAGTACAGATAATTCATTGTGTGGCTTTGTGGTAGGATATGATGCTGTTGTGAAAGATAAAGTAACCAAAAAGAT